ATCATCATCATCAGCAGCAGCATCATCATCAGCATCAGCATCAGCATCAGCATCATCAGCATCAGCATTCTCATCAGCATCATCGGCATCAGCATCATCATCAGCAGTATCAGCATCAGCATCATCAGCAGCATCAGTATCACCATCACCATCATCAGCATCAGCATCATAATCATGATCAACAACATGAACAACATCATCATCATCATCATCATCATCACCATCGTCATTATGCTCATGTACGTCATTATCATCATCACTGCCATCACCACCGTCATCATTGGCATCACCACCACCGTCATCATAATCAGCATCGTCGTCATCCGCATCACCACCATCAGCACCATCATCGTCATCATCGACATCGTCATTATCTTCCTCCTGATCCTCATCCTCATCCCCATTATCACCACCACCAGGATCATCAACAGCATGGTCATCAGCATCAGCATCAGCATTACCATCGTAATCGTTGGCGGCTTCGTCGCCGTCGATACCGTCAACGCCATCATCAGATGCACCAACACCAGCACCATCACCGACATCATCATCGGCATCGTCGTCATGACCAAGATCAGTCTCATCATCACCACCCTCATCATAATCAACGCCCCACCGATATGATCATCAGGACCATCATCAACAACAATGTCATCATTGCATTCGTCATCTTCATTTCCGCTATCAGTGCGCACACAACGATCACCATCGCCATCGCCATCACGATCACCATCATCACCATCATCATCAGCATCATCATCAACGTAATCATCAACATAATCATCGCCATGATCACAATCATCGTCGCCGTCGTCAGCCGCCTCCTTGTCCTCCTGCTCCTCCTCCTCCAATCGCCTCAAAACCTCAAACCTCGAACATCGTGCCTCGATCCCTGAAGCGGGCTTTGTTTTATGTTGTTCCCATCGCGCTTAAGGACGACATCCCAAAAATGATTTCGAGCACCCAGAAAAGTATCGAAATAGTGTCGAACGAGTATCGCCTCCAAGGGCCTAAGGAGTGAACACCCTCCAGTTTCGGTACTTACCTGGTGCTCGAAATTATTCCTGGCGGTTAAAGCTAAAGTAGGTTGGAACATGATAAGCCTTGTTGGGGTTGCACAGCAGCATGTCGGTGGTCACCCGGATCTCCTCGGTGCGCCCCAGCTGGGCCAGGCAGTGTCCTCGCGCTTATCGTCGTCGTCGTCAGCCTCCTCCTCCTCCTCCTCCTCTTCCTCCTCCTCCTCCTCCTCCTCCTCCTCCTCCCTCTCCTCCTCCTGCTCCTCCTCCTCCTTCTCCTCTTCCTCTTCCCTCTCCTTCTCCTCCTCCTCCTCCTCCTCGTCCTCCTCCTCCTCTTCCTCCCCTCTTCCTCTTCATCCTCCTCCTCCTCCTCCTCCTCCTCCTCCTCCCCTCTTCCCTCTCCCAAGCCTTGCTCTCCATCCTTCAGGCTCGATGGGCTCACCGAGCATGCTCTTCTACGCTCGTCGCAACATAACAACGGTAACGATGACGAACACGTGTCCGTCGACTGGGATGCTGGCGCCCCATTTTGATATCGAGCCCAAGGTTCCTCATTCCCGCTGCGAACATTGATTCATCTGGACTCTCGGGACATGTCTGCGCAAAGAAAGGAAAAATCGCCTGGGAGTGATCTCTTCGTTGCGATTTCAGAAAGACTAGCTTGAGTTGAGCCTGAAAGTGGCCGGAAGTACCCTGAAGTGAATTATTCCTCGTGGTTGTCAAGAAGATGTGATCCGAAAACAACTCTTTAAGAGGACCTGGGACAATAGCGAGAGCGTGATTCCTGAGTGTCGAGGGCGCTTGAATAAATTGCGAGGAACTCCCACACGATTTCTGCACAAATTGTGAGGACGTCCCGCGCGAGAGCGCAATTTGGGAATACATTGCGAGGAAGTATCAGGCGGAAGCCGTTGTTGCTGTGACTCGGGAGCCAAGGGCCTAATTCCGAGGCGTGCCATTCAACACGTATATCCCCAAACCCTCGATACCCCCCGTCTTCGTCGTCGATCGTACCCCCTTGGGTGTGTAGATCTCTCTTAGCTGCAATGTGTATTTCATGCAGCACCTAAGGCAGGGGAAAGAGGACGGATGGAAGGAAGGGGCCAGGGGGAAAGAGGAGGGAGCACGAGAGTGCGAAGCAGGAGAAAACACGTGGCAAAAACAGACGGGTAGATCGGGCAGGTGGGCCCTAACGGGCAGGTCGGAAGGCGGGCCCAGGCGGCCAGGTCGAGCAGGCAGGTTGCCGAAGCGTGCGTTCTGCATGAACCGCGAGGAAGTCTCGAGCGATTGCTCGATTCCCAAGTAAATCGTGATATAGGGCAAAGCGAGAGCGTGATGCGGCGTCTGAATAAATGGCGAGCAAGTCCCGCGCGAGAACGCGATTTCTGTGTACATTGTGTGGACGTCCCGCGCGAGAGCACGACTTGGGAATGAATTGTGAAGGAGTATCAGGCGGGAGTCGCTGTTGTTGTGAACTGGAAGCAGGGGCACAATATGGTGACGCGTCACTTCGCCTTGTAAAAAAGAAGGTGCGAGCCCCGGGAGAAGCACTTTAATTGAACAAATCAATCCGCCGGCCCCCTTGCGGGGCCACCAGGCTGTAGGACGAGGGTTCGCTGTTTTTTGCACCAGTTCCAGTTTCTAGTTTCCACAGTTACAGTTCTGTTTCTTGCTGTTTATTGTTCCTTGTTGATGGACCGCGCGAGGGGGGGAGCCGAAAAGCGTCCGGATTACCACGCCCGAATCGCGTTGCCTGAATTTGTTTGGGGGGCGTGGGACACTTAAAAATACATGTAAGTCGCGCCCCCGAGGCCACAAACGCTCGTACATCACACAATATTCGCGTATCCGAGGCCGTAAACCCTTGCGAATTACACAATAGTCGCGTCCCCGATGCCATACACTCTTACAAAATACACCATATTCGCGTCCCCGAAGCCATAAACCTTTTTGCGAATTACTCAATACTTGCATCCCCAAGGCCACAAACGCTCGTAAATCACTATGCCATAATCGCGTACCCGAAGCCATACACTATCGTAAATTACGCAATGCTCGCGTCTCCGAAACCATAAACCTGCGTAGATTACGCTATAGCTGCGAGCCCGAAGCCATAAACCCTCGTAACTTACGCACTCGTCGCGTATCCGAGGCCATAAACCCTCAAACGCAACACCGAATTCAACAAGATCATCAGAATCTCAATTTGTCTTGCCGACTACCCATCGTCTTCACGTGAGACGCTGCTTCACGGGGGCGCCAAGGCCTCACGATTTCGCTTTGCATTGCCCATTATCCAAGAGAGGGGGCCCGCGGCAGGGGGCGAAGCCCTTACGGAGAATGATGAATCTTACAACACCAACGGCTACAACGACAACAACAAAAGCAAAAACAACAACAACAACAACAACAACAACAACAACAACAACAACAACAACAACAACAACATCAACAACAACAACAACAACAACGACAACAAAATAATAACGTGCTCCTGGAACCCTGCGCACAGGGCACCGGCACCACGGACTGTCGTGGCCTGGCGAGAACGGGACCCTGGTACCCCGTTCCAAATTGCGGGGGGGCGCAACCGCAACAGCGCAACGTTCGGTCCTACCATAAATCTGGAAAACGGAATACGTTGGAAGAGCTTCAGGATGGGATTCCGGGGACATCACGGATGTGCGCGCTAGCGAGGCAAGGTTTCATTGAGAACTTTATACAGACATGGTACAAGGCGTTTTCGGGACTCTATCGAGAGATGGTGTTGGACCTATTTATAACGATGGTACAAGACCTAACGGGAACTGTGTAGAAATGGTACAATACTTACTGGCAACTCTAAAGAAATGATGCAGGACCTACTGGGAACCCGATGGAAATGACACCAGAGAAGAACCCCAATCAATTGATGGTTTGGAAATTAATGATACTGAACTTAAAAAATGTGACATCGATCGCGGCATCGAAAACGAGGACGATTGTAAGGTCGATCGTGAGACCGATAGTGAAGTCGATTCGATGCGCCCCATACTGAGATCGACCGTGAGATCGCTCGTGCGATCTATCGTGAAATCGATTGTGAAATCGATACTGCGATCCATTGTCAGACCGATCGTGAGATCGATAGAAAAGCGGGTAATTAGATCGATGGTGAGACCGATCGCTAATATCGCCCACAAATCTGGGAACCGCCGAACCCCGCCGCCAACCAAAATCGGCACGGAACCCGAAACCGGGAACTTGGGAACCCAGAGCCGGGAACCGAGAAACCCAGCCGCTCGCCGAAATCGGCCAGACATTCCCCAATATCCATGAATCTCCGCAAGGACCCCTTCAGTGCAAGCACCGATTCGGGAATAATACAGGACCGACTCGGAACTCTATGGAGCTGGTACAGGACCTACTATGAACTCCATAGACGTGATACAGGACCTACTGGGAACCCCAAAGGATGGTACAAGACCTTCTCGGGACTCTTTGGAGCTGGTACAGGACCTACTGGAGACCTCATATACTTGGTACAAGACCTACTTGGAACACCATACACATGGCACAGGACCTACTGGCACTTCTATAGAGATGGTACACGACGCACTGGGAACTGCATACACATGGTACACGACCTACTCGAACTCCATAGAGATGGTACAGGACCTACTGGGGCTGGCGACTCTATAGAAGTGGTACACGACCTACTGGGAGCTCTTTATAGATGGAACAGGACTTACTGGGAACTGTAGAAAGGGTGGTACAGTGTCTACTGGGGACTGTATAGAGATAGTACACGACCTACTGGAAACTCTATAAAGGTGGTACAGAACCTACTGGGAAATCCATTGATCAGGTACAGGACCTACTTGGAACTCTATAGAGGTGGCACCGGACCTACTGGGACCGCTGGAGAGATGGAACATATACTACAGGGAACCCTATAGAGCTGGTACAGGACCTGCTGGTAACCCTACAGAGATTGTGCAGGACTTACTGGGCACTCCATAAGGATGGTACCGGACATGCTGGGGCCACCATAGAGAGATGGTGCAGAACAGAATGGGAACGCGATGGAAATGGTACAGGACATACTCGGACTTCGAAGGATATGCAACAAGACCTACAGGGAACTCTGTAGAGAGGTAGCACCGACCCACCGGGAACTCTATAGAGATGGTACAGGACCTACTGAAAGATTTGTATGGAGATGGTACAAAACCGACTTGGAACTCGATCGGGATGGTGCAGGCCCTACTGACAACGCTATAGCGATGGTACAACTCCTATTGGGAAATCTATCGAAATGGTACGGGACAAACAGGACTTCCTGGGAACTGTAGAAGGGGTGGTACAAAACCTACTGGGGACCCTATAGAGATGGTACAGGACCTGCCGGGGACTCTACAGGGATGGTACAGGACTTACTAGGAACCCGATTGAGATGGTACAAGACCTGCTGGGAACTCCAAGGATGCTACAGAACCTACTGGGAGCACAGTAGAGATTGCACAGGAGCTACTGGACACTTTACAGAGCTGGTACACGGCCTACTGGGGACTCTACAGAGATGGTACAAGACCTACTGGGGACTCCTATAGAGATGAGACAAAACCCACCAGGAATTCGAGATGGTACAAAACCTACTGGGCACTCGATAAACATGGCACAGGACCTACTGGGGACTCTACAGAGACGATACAAAACCGACTGCGGACTCTACAGAGATGGCACACGACCTAGTGGGAACCCGATAGACGGTACAAACCTACGCTCGCGTGTCATTCAATATGCATATCCCAAACCCTGGACGCCCGCCTTCTTCGTCTTCGATCGTACCCCCTTTTGGGAGGTAGATACATCCCCCGCCACGCGTGGTTGGCGAAGCCCTGGCAAACGAAGGGCAACAGACAACGGGGGGCAATGAGGAAGGAGGGATCGGGGGGGGGAAAGGGGGGGGGGGGGGGGAAAGGAGGGGGGGCGATGATTTGCGCTGCGAGCGTCGATTCAGCTCGCGCCACGGCTTGCGCCAGCCACTCCAACACGGGTCAACAATAAATTTCGCCACGGGTCGCGCCATAAACAGCGCCGCGCACCGCCCCCCTGCAAGTGCATATCGTGGATGCCACCACGGTGGGGGGGCGCGCAGCTGCGAATTGGCATGTGGAACAAA